TGTGATGTAGCTAATACGTGTGACCTGCTGTGGTTAGGGAAATGAGTGATGAGGCACACTAGCTGAGCATATTGTGCCTTTTAACTTAGCAGCACAACATAAATATTCGCGGTCTATGCTTCTTTTTGATCTTCTTATGTGTGACTCACTGTTTTGCGAGGTTAGTGGCAGAAATGGATGACTGCGATGGTTCACTCAGGCGAAGTGATATGCACATGAAAAAGTGCAGTCTGCAACCAGTTGATGTCTCATTATGAAAGTTTCTACGTGTTCTAACGATTGTTTTACTAGCCGTCTCTCACCCAAATACCCTATTCGTCGGTAACTGTCAGTGGTTATTAAAAGTTAGACACGTTATAGGTTTATACGTTGGAAGCAAGTACCATTGTAGTTATTAAAAATAATAATGCAAGATCAATGTAAGCCATTCGAAGCTATGATAATCACGAAAATATGCCTGTAATGTGTGAGCCTTACAGCGTAGTGGTTTGCGATGATTGCGGGCCGGTGGTTTTGAGCTGTCTGGTTGCTTGCTCCTATCCGCAGTCATGCCTAATTCTGGACTTCCGTCATCTTGTGGCTCTTAGAATAAACCCTCGTTTTCTTGCACGTTAGAGCGTTTAGTAATGCCACGCTTTCGATAAACATAATAACAGCAAAACAAGTTCGCACCGAAAAATTTTATTACCCCTTTGATGATCCAATCGGAAAAATTCTGGTTCCGCGTTTGAGGTTCCATTACCAAGAAAGGGGCTTACGCATGTTCGGACAACCGCTTTGACGAAATTGAACTCTGACGTCTGACTATAAGTTACCTAAATTCTCATTTGTAGTATAGTTTGTTCTACACAGATTTCACGGGTGGGTGGGCAGCATTCGCGTTTTGGGTTGCAAACGACTGTCGGCTACATGTCATCTAAAATTTAAATCTGTCAACATGAAATGTTCTTCTCCTTGAGGCTTTTGTAGGAGGTTAGTAGTTAGCCTAACGACCAAGTGAAATAAAACATCCACCGATGCTCAAGTAATAAGTACAATGGTTTTACTTCTCAAACTTAGTTTGCTGTCGGACTAGGTTCCTATCGCTCCTATTGCCACCCACGAGAGGTATTGAAAATTCGGATCTGATGCCTTTTTATTGAAAATCTGCACTCCTGATTTGTGTTTTGATACTTTTTGTCAATAACATATTACCTTCAGTGTCCTAGATGTATTGATGAATTTTCGGAATGTTGTTTGTTTAGTTTCAATTCAAGTGAACTCCCATGAAATTTCAGCATTTTGCTTCGTAATGCGAGTATTTTTCTGCCACAGCGGAACATCACTTTTTGTGTCTAAAGGCAATGAAAGGTTCACTGAAGGGGTACCTCATTAAGTGGTAAGAAATATGATGATAATTTAACCCGAATACAATTACACACAAAGGCTAAAGGAAAGTCAAGACACTGATTAGGGATTGACGAAGGTGACGAATATGTAGCGAATTCCACTTGTGGTCTCCAGTCCCTCATGAAGGTGGGTCAGACGACCAGGGAAGATAAGTGGCCAACCCACACGCGTGTCGACCAGGGTACAGTTGTAACGCGGGTATCTAACACCGCCACCCTTCAGAGCAAAAGAACACAAATATAATTAGATTTTGAAATGAAATAGCACTGCATCTAGTACTTTCTTTTGCAAATTCCCAAATCTAGTCTCAAAAAAGTGCTTCAAATTTATATTTTCAAATAATGATTTGGGGCAGTTGTCAGACCCACATAATTTTAGGGGGGTGTTAAGTTCATCGGAATGCAGCTACGTTAATTTGGTCAGAAGAACTTTATTTCTAGATCCATCATTATCTGATTCCTCAGCACAGTTATGCGGACTGCCACACAACTGCCAAAAGACCTGATTTAACTCCTCTGCACTATTTCTCAGGAGAAAGACTCCCCTTGATTCCTACAACTTGTAACATTGCATTTTAAGGCCGTTTTACGGGCACAAATATGTCAGTGGCTTGACACATGATTGAGTCTGAGGTTTAGGGCTCACCGTATAATCAATATGAGCTCGGTTAAGGGCCATATCGAGGGTGTATGTGGAAGCATCGTGGTGAAGACGTAGTGAAGGTTGTTCTCCCTGTTTGTAGCGCACCACAAAATTCATCCTAGCAGTTGGCTAAAACGAAGACATGCTTGGTAATATAGAACTCTGGAATGTGTACTTTATGCTTTAGCTGTGGGATATGAGTTCGCAAAAGCAAAAATTGAATTACGGTCGAGCCGAACGAATTTTTGGGAATACCACTCAACCTAATCTAGCCATGACAGAAAGATGCTAACGACAATATACCACAGACACCACGGGCCTAGATCGTGGTTTTCGAATAAAGCCTTTAGACAAAATATCCGGACGTAACAAAATCATGGCCTTGTTGTCCATTTAAACTCCAGATCAAAACATGTTAATATAAATATAACTTTTGCTGTAAGTCATGTACTAAAGAGGTCTACGAAATTCTTGTTATCCCCTTTTGGTTTTCGCAATTATTTAAAGATATCTACCTTATCCCAGTATCCCTCCCAGAGTTTTATTTGAATGGGGTAGACGTATTTTTGAAGCACTTGCATCCAGTGTTCTTCCCAATCGATTTGTCGCATGTGAATGTCGACCGTTGGAACGTTCTCATAACCGCTTTCTAAACGAGGGTCGTAGTGTTTGCCCTCTGACCAGTTGTTGTAGGCTTCCATCTCCTCGATAAGGTGTTTGCAGAAGGTCTCAGACATTAGAGGCACCCAGAAGACATCCGGGCAGGGTTGTTCGAAATCGGCCAAAGTCGTAGACTTGTTAGCAAAACGATGGTACTCCGGGTGGATATATCGCTCCTCCCAATCCTATCAAGAGATACAGCAGCATGTTAGCGTCTTTATTTTCATGAATTTACGTCACAATCGCCCCTAATAGACAGTTCTTATTAAGGTGTTGGTGCCACTGGTTAGTTCTTTTGAAGTCCATTTGAGCAATCTGGTTGGAATTCAGGCCGACTGATTCACTAACGTCTATGACGTCAATTCATCCGTTATACAGCATGTTGCGGTAGTCATGGGCTAGTAGCGTAATGAGAAGTGAACTTTGGCTCTGATAACATAAAATCATCACCTATTGGGCCAGTAAGTGATCTTATCTTTGGCCGCTTTCCACTCATCGTACACATGACTCAAGTGACTAACTCTGGGGCTGCAAGTCATCGCAACACACGCAGCCACCGCAAAAATACTTTCGCATAAAAGTTAATTGAACATGAAGCAGTCTGTTAGTCTTTCACCTACTTGCTGAATTGTTGGAAGTGTAGGATTTGAAGCAGAGATATTTTTGTTTCTTTTTCGGATGACAGATATTTTGCCACAAAGTTGTTCACTTTTAAGAGCTCTTCTAGAAGATATACCTGTCCGTGTATTCTTTTTATAGAAGTGGTGAAATAAAAAAAAACTCAAAACTGAAAAAGGAACGTTTCTGTACTTTTATTGATTGTCCCACCGGTTTCGTATTTTTCTTGGAAATGGTAGTCTTAATGCGGTATTGCTTTTCGGTGATGTCTGATTGCTAAGGAAAAAATGATCTTGCCTTCAAATAATCACATCGTTGCTATTCGATTGGATGCGACATCTTGCCCAGTTTGCCTGATGTCTAGTTGATTAAGTTCTGCTTAAACCCAACCTATGTTATAGTGTGAGCTTTGACCTGCTTTGCTTTGAAAGTCGTTTCTGCTTATAAGTTCACCAGTAGCCCGGTGACTGCCTAATTGTGAACTCCCTAAAAAACGCGATTAGGGTTTCAGCTGCCACACGCAGTAAGAAATGCCAATTCTACGCAATCTACTTCCCAGTAGTCTCACCGATAGGGTGGACTCAAAGGAGATTAACCTTTTGTGCTTCCTTGTTGTGAACTTTGAAATACTGCAAATGCAAAACGCAAACCATTCAAGCATTCAAAATAGACAAACCGTTGGATTATCGAAGATTTGCCAGAGGTCGTTGTGAAGGTGGTCCAATGTGTAAGTTTCGGGGTTTACGAGGTGACCAAATTCCTCCCGATTGTCAACAAAGAGGAAGACGTTCTGTATAATAAGAAAATATAGGCAACCGTTTTTATTCCCATTTTGTTTTTATTTAGTATACTCCCAGCCGATAATCAATAATTATGTTAAGACCTCCCACACACACCTTTCTCAGTGCCATTTTAACTGGATTTTCTGGGATGGAGACCCTTAACACAGTTTTCATTTCAAACCCTTTGAACTGTAATCTATATCAGTGAAGACTACTACTGGAATCACAGCACTTACTCGCTGTAGAGCAGCCAACGCAATGTCGTAGGGAAGAAATCCGCTGTCTTCTATCACCTCTCGAATCTGTCCCACAGCCCATCGTGACAAGAGAATCGAGCTGCTAACAAATGGAACGTTCCAGAGACCACTAAAATTGTAACGAAAATGCAACAAAGATTAAAAAGCAGTGATTCGCGATACTCGATCAGCCTCAATGTAAGGTCTGTCTAGTTTGAAGTGAGTGAAGTAGTTAGATCCAATAAGATTGATACCTGTGTTGAACTGTTTACAGGGCGAACGATTTGCTCGATGTCATGACTCGTGAGGCGCAGACGAGGCACAGAGAAGGAGTCAAGCCTCATGTAGCAGTAGTGCTCATGAATCGTACAATTCACACGACCATTCTCAGGAGCTTTGACCTCAAACTCCATGTAAATATTAAATACCCGTCGGCCAAATGCAACTACCCATACGTCGCTACCGAACTCAACACATCTGTTACATAATTTGTTGTTTGAAAACGACAAAACATAAATTGCACACATTAGTGCATGTGACTAAATGCATGTTTAAAACGCAAAGTTCGATTAAATCGAAGGGCTCTTTTAACTGGGGCCGAATCGTTTCAAGATGAGCACGCCAACTTACGTCTGTCGGCGTTCGACGATGTCGAAGTAGTCATCTGAACGTGCATAAGCTCCTTCCTCAGTGACGGCCCCCCAAAACGAGGACCAGAATTTGCCCGGTCGGGTCATCATGGGGGTAATGGCGTTTTTCTTCGTCGATATCAAATGCTCTAAAGTATTAGTCTTGCTGAAATGGGCTGTCGAATCCACATAAAACATATACTTGCATTGACTTATTTCCCAACAATAAGACCTACAAAGGGATCAAAACGTTATTAATGTACTGAGGAGCAGTCACTCCATTTTGCAGTGTTACCAAGGCTTGTGGGCAAAAGTCAGTTGTTTACTTATTACTAATTCACAATAACTTAGTTTCCAAATGAGTAGGAACAGAATCTTTATTACTCACATCGCTTCACGGAAAGTTTCCACGGCACTTGAACTGGCCTCCAGACGAATTTCTCTGATTGAACGATATTCATGCAAGTGCGTAGAAATAAAGCTATCCAAAACGGACTTCTGTTTTTCGATCTAGAGGTGAGAAAACAAAAAAAAATTGTGTGGTTTGGATCACGTTTTGAGAAGTATAAAAACTTGCTTTGTTCGAACGTCAACACCGACTTACTGTACAGTGGGTGACCAGGTCGATTCGATTCTTGGGATACGTGAGATTCGCCAAGCGCTCAAAAAATACTTCAAGAAACGGAGTTGGCTGGTTTATTAAGACGGTTAATTGCACTACTGGGTAATCAGCTTGCTGTAAAATCAAAATTAGGCAAATAATGATTTAGCAAAATATAAAAGTGAGGTCAATATAAGCCGAAAGTGTTTTACATGCTTTGAGTAATTTCTGCCTGTGACGCCACTTTATTTAGTATTTGATAGATGTCACTTTTAGCTTACCCCAAAAGCAAATTGTTGCAAAAATGCTCTGTAAGTGTTAAATTTAGGATTAATTTGACGTAAAGTGCAAATAGCAATATTTTCGTTGGTTTTTTTTCCCGTTAAGGCAATAAAACTTTGGATGCTAACATAGAGACACGTTTAGTTGGTGGTGTTGATTAGCGGAATTTGTTGAAAACATTCCTTCCAGCTTGTCAACGTTCTGGCCGACAAACCGGCGATGATCAAATCTAGTCATTCAGTAATTGGATTGCCCTGCAACCGGACGAGAGACTTCAAAGCCTAAATATTTGCAAAATAACAGCTAAATTGCTAAAAATGTCTTTATCTCATCACGAAGCGCCATTTCTACATTTTGCATTAGTTTTGAGGAATCGCACATTTTTGTGTATTTTTAGTTGTTTCCAAGAAACAAAACAATCAACGCAGATGTCTGTTTACAACTGAAAAAGATTGGAAGCACCAGTCAGATAGAAACAACCAGAGGTGGCGAAGCCCAGTGTAATTATGTTACACTAAGACAATGCAACGTCTCACGCATGTCTTTGGTTGTTTGTGGAAAATTACTGTAGTTTGCGTGGAAGGTAATATCACACTCCCATATAGTGCTGATCTTGCACCATCAAATATCTATTCTTTTCGAAATTCGGTGAGCTAGTTTGGATGCATAACTCCTCAAATGATACTGACCTTATACGTTTTAAAAAGTTGCATATGTCCTCAGGCAATGATTTACCTCTACTGGCACCTGAAGCATTGTTAAAAGTGTCACTAGCTACAACAACATCTTGCTAATGGCTTGCAATGCCAGTGAAAATACTTTATTTTAACAGGATGGATATAATTGTCAACTTCAACGAATAACTTGTCCCTCCGTAGTCATTTCCTAACTTAGGGCTTTGCAAATTCGAGTATAATAAATATGCCTAATTAAACAACCATTCAAAGTGCCAGCTGCTTTCAGACTCATGAGCGTTGGATAATATTAGACGAATGAGTAAGAAAGGGTACTCAGGAGTGTGTAGGATGATTTGTTTGAAAGAAATACGAACCAGGCATTTGAATGAAAATCCACTGCACAGTATGGTAGGTCCATCGTGAATTAGCAACACGTTTAAGTGGATCAACTAGTAGTTATGTGGCAAGATTATAGCAGATGATAAGATGGCCGATTGTTGAAGATATAAGGTGGCACCTCCATGACTTTAAAACTAACAATGCCTTTCTAGGGACTATTCAGGAAGAGTAGTCTAAAAGAAGAAAGGTTGCCAGAAATCCAAAATTCGGTCCTCCCAATAACAAAAGTGCTGAATTCACATTATCTTTTTTCAATGCCATGGTCTCTTGGACGCCAATTCGCGGCCATGGCCCCTACGACTCATGTCTGCATCATCGCAGAAAATTCAAATTTACGCATTGTAAAGTCTCCAAAACACGCTTTTTCCATATAGGAGTGAATTTTAGTTTTTCCATCATACGAGCCTGCTTGAATGTTGAAAACTAATTTATTCAATACATTTTCAACTGACACCTAAATTATGCGTGTCCGGATATTTGCTCGCATATTCCACGTATTGCCATGTTTAAAATAAGTAAAATGTCACGTACAGCTAGATACGAGAGATCGAGTTTTTCTTCGTCGCAGATCAGGCATCCTGTCTCGGGTGACCAGGCACGAAGCAGGTAATTGCAGAGAGAGTTCAGTTTCCGCTGTAAAGTGCAGAAAATCACTCAGTCTTGACGCAAGGAATCTTAACAAATAACTAATGTTACAAACGCTTCGCATGTACGCTACATCCACCACGAAATTCCACCTTTAATAGACGCGCAGCCTTTAAATACAGAAGAGACGAACCTCAGTCAGATATTGGTATGACTATAAATCAGGAGCCGTTTTAGGTAGGCCCAACGGATTTTCTGATGTAACCATGTTTTTTGAGGAATATGAAGTTTTATTCCAAAAACAACAAAAAAATGAAACACAGCATTATCTTTACACTGCACTTGCAGGCTAGTGGATATACTAAAATAAAATTGCGTAGCTGAGCCATCTTTGTGTGGTTTAAAGAGAACGACCTTGCTCTAAATAAACTCGCCCTATTATAAGTTACCTGTGATTCATTTGATTGTTGCATTAGTAATTTGGTTAGTTTATCCTTGCAGCCAGACATGATGCAAACAACCACACTGAAGTGAGCTAATGGCGTACCTTCCCATCGGGTGCAGCAATTAAGACTTGTGGGACGGAGTCTTTCTGCACGTTCTGCACATACCCACGATCACCCTCGTATCGGATCTTCAAGTCGGGACCTAAAATCACGAAACTGTGTTAAGTAGACTTATATTAACGACAAAACTGGTGTTTATTATATAACTGCATACCAGAATCATTGTTAATTGATTGGAACAGAACAGATCCCTCATCGATTACAACTTTGGCCGAACCCTAGACAAAGCAGAAAACAGGATAGGCATTTTGCTATTGATAACAGATTATTAAAAAACCAACCGGCGTAAGAAAACGTTTTAATAAATAAATAACTACCAAACGAGGCAAGCTTTCCGTTCTTTGGCACCGACTACTAAGACTACACAAAGCTGAATACAACGCGTTGGCTTCTATACTATTTGATGTAGATCGTATGTGTTCGTCAAAGGATGCTCTTGCTGAGTAATCGGCAGAACGATGGACTTGTACTGAATATGGTCAAAGAGTACATAGGGGCTGGTAGTTTTGGGAAAAACGTTAGTTTTATGAAGATGGCAGTAGAAGAAGGCATAGCTTTTGACGAGACAGACGTATACAGAGGCTAATAAAAAAGGAATTGAAATGAGTTATCTTGAGAAAAGACATGGGCTACCTGTAGAATTTCATAAATATAACAGCCATTCGATTTCGCAAATCACACTAGTTTATTACCTGTGTAAGAGCAGTATTAAGCTCGCCGATAAATTTGTCCATTAGGATCTCAGAGGGTGATTCATCAGGCAGGCTGTCCAACAGGTCCTTCAGTTTCTTTGTCTGCGCCAGCATCCCTTCGAAGACCGCATCCCCAGAGGGTAGCTTCTTGCCCGAGTTCATATCCTTAAAATTATTAGAGGGGTGAATATTGTTATTATTTACGTCAAACAAAATTACCCATAGCTAAAACTCACTGTTTCCAAGAAGACAAAGTCAGCGGCCAACAAATCTGCCTTCTGAATGATATGCACAGGATGGTTGAGAATAACGGATACATGACTATAAGGAATTTATGAAAATGATTAAGTTAGTGAGTTAGGTGTGATCCCTAGGTGCGACGCTATGAGAACTAAATTTCGTGTCACCCCCTAACGTTAGATACGTTGTCCGTATTACATACTTATCTCATTAGAAGCACCTGGAAAATGTATACACTTAAGTAAATAATTACACTTCAGGTCAGTTTCCGTGTCCAGCGTCTTTGAGCCCTCCTAGCGTCCTTAAGAGAACAATCCTGCAGTCAAACAAGCAATGGCATCGTAGATCATCTATGGGCCAGTTTCAGATGAAAAGTGGACGTATGCTTATGGGCTTTCGGCATAATTTTAGCAGGTTTTTCAAGAGTAACAGAGGGTATTGTGTCTTTATAGGAAGGATGGAAAAAAGCAGTGAGGAATGTCACTTTACCTGTCCAAGATGAGGACATACTCCGTGGAAATCTGGCCAATCACCTGCCTCAAGGAATTCACCTTTTGAGCAAATGGAACATCCCTTGCCATGAGACCGTATTTGGAGAGATCGACAATAGTATTTGGGTAGCCAAAGACCTTAAGCGACCGCATAAACCTGTCCACAGCATCATCAATTTCGCCGCGGAAGCCGATCACATGCAAACCTAGAAGGAAATGAAGTCGTTAGGGAGGGGCGCAAAAAACTTACTAGTGCCGCGGACTTCAGCGGCAGCAGCAACTAAAAGGATTAGCAATAGCGTGATTGCAGCCATGCCTTCGGTGTAGCCCAGTAACTGCCTGTCCATCGTATTTATAGACAGCGGGCAAAGGGGATGTCTTCGGTATCCTTGAGCTCCCATTGGCTAGTTGCTGGTGGCGAGTTCGTATTGGTTGAATGAATTAAAAACGGACATGTACGGAAGGCATCAGGCTCTTATAATTACGTAAAATGAATCAGAGTTTTATTAAATTTGAACTTGTTAACAATCGAAAATATTTTACGGATGACAACTGTTAGTTATAGTACAAACAGCTAAATTTTAGGGACAGTTTTATAAGTGCACCACTTTTAATTACCAACTAATGTCGATGTTTGGGGGTTACGTTATAAATGCTTGCCTAAAAACGGTGTATATGAATGTAGCTGATAACCAATGCGCCTGATGCTTACTCGTGGAGATCACTATTTTTCCGCATCTCTAGATCGTGACTAGTTCAGCTAGCACTGCTCTACCGTTCTGGTAGTTAACTTTTGCCTAATTTTCTTACTTTCCACCTCAATGGGATTGAGCATAGACCTGCCTTTCTGTGAGTTGAAAACTTGATCTTTTTAAAAAAGAACACATTACTTCAAGAAAGTCGGCTTAGAGTCAAATAATGTTTATCATCTACTTTTACTACGCCCTTTGTGTGGAGTGTTTTTGGAATCAAAATTTTGTAAAATCAACCACAGTGATGCTTAGGGGATGAGATAACGATGACTTCTCTTACTGTCATTGAGAAAGATGTTAACAAGGAACATTTCTAGCCAAAGCTAACCGCCCTGTAGATTGCGAGCAAATAAAGACCAGTTATGCGCAAATGAAGAGACAACGTTGAGTTACCTTCTACCTTGTGGAGTCTCGGCATCACTTCTCAAGATAGCCAAACAAGTCTGTCGTGTAAGAGATTGCGGTTCCCATCCTCTCTTCCACATGGAACTGTTACCATGGGTGATTCACATCACCGTCTTCGCACGGGGCCCAATGGGGACTGAAGGCACGTTTGGGGACAATTGACATGTGTGTGTGTGTCCGCGTGTCGGTAAATGCTCCAAACTCTAGACGTCATAATACCTCATTATGTTTCACATTATTTCCATGCTAAACAGCCTATACAGTTAAGGCAACATTAGGATTTCTCGCCTTACTATGACACTTGCGGAGACCACGTCGACACGGAGACACTAAGTGAACGTCCATTTCAAGTGTGAAAGTGATGACCTGCCAAGTATGATGTCTTCATGTCGTTGTAACCTTAGCACAAGCTAATAACGAATCGCCATGTCCAATTAGCACAACAAAGACAACCCTGTCATTACACGTCGGCGTGTCTTGTGTTGCCTCTCGTGCCCCCTACAGGCTCTCCGGGCGAACGATTGGGCTAGCTGTAAACACCAGTTACTTCGACTGGCGAGTGAGGTATTGAGTGTGGGGAGATAAGCTTGCTTTTAAATCTTCATTTGCACGATGTCCATGGCCACAGTCGGAACCAGCGACTTGTTAAGTTTAAAGTACAAATTGAGCTCTAACATCTCCACAGCCTAAGTCATGAGTTGGACGTAGTTCCGACATGAAGACAACTTAATCTGTAGGATTTTACGTTATGTAATGCCATTTAAATGCTCGATTGCGTTGACAAGCATAGGTTGTAATCAATGTGAGCTATCTAGATTTCGACAAGCGGTGTAATCAGTGGCGATTAAAGGTGTTACTCTCATGAACACTAATGCAAGCACCGAATAGCTAATCAAAATTCTCTTCAGTGTGGCCAAGGTTTAATCTAGGGCATTCTTCAGGTTCGTAAATAGTGTTTAAATTTATCCCATTTACAGATATATGGCAACAGGTTACAGCTAATGGTAGTCGGCTTAAAAGAATTTGTAACGTCACCGCATAAAATACAACTTCATTTTGACAACATCATTTATACAAAACAAGTGTACTAACACTTCACAGCACGTATTCTTCTTACTCGTTAAGCCAAAAACCCCTTGAGTCCAGATGCAGACTGCATCAGATTTATGAAAACAGTAGGTGAAATTGATTCTCATCCTCCCATCAAGGGTGGTGGCGTGCATTTCCCTCGCTACGGATGCAAGCTCGTGGAAACCCGTGTGGGCTGGCCACTCA